CTCCTAGAGGGTAGGAACAGCTGTTGCCTTTCTTTGTATCCCGAGAGATTAGCACAATGCCTAACAGGCAGTAGGTGCTTTCAGCTGTTCAGTCATTTTTCACAACTCTTTATGACCCCATTTGGGATTTTCTTGGTGAAGATATTAGAGTGGTTTGCCATTTCCTTCTACAGCTAATTTTACAGATTAGGAAACTGAAGCAAAAAGGGTAAAGTGATTTGCCCAGTATCTCACAGCTAGTAAGTGTCTGAGGCCAAATTTTAACTCATGAATCTTCCTGACTTCAGGCCCAGCACTCTATCCACTGTACCACCTAGCTGCCCTGTAGGGGCTTGAGAAATGCTTTTTGATTAATTAATTGATATCAAAATAACTCATTTTTCTGAATCAGCAGAGTTATTAGATTATTAGGATCAGGGATCATCAGGATTCTCAAAATGCTACAGATAGCACAGAACCAGACTTCAGGATGGCATCTGACAACATTTCTCATAGTACTTATTCTTGTGAATAAGAAGAAGAGTTGTAGTCCCAATGAAAGTGCAGTTAAGCAGATTTGGAACTAGCTAAGTGACCAAACCCAAAGAGTGGTAATTAACGGATCAGTGATAACTGGAAATAATGTCCTTAGTGAAATGTCATAGGGGTCAGTCCATTGTGTAATATATTTATCAATGATCCAGATGAGGGGTATGGCCAATCTGCTTATCAAATCTGAAGATGACTCAAAACTGAAAGGAATATTATATTAGATGCCAAAATCAGTATCCAAAAAAGATTTTAACAGTCTGGAACAGCAGGCAGCTACTAACAAGGTAAAATGTAATAGGGGCAAATGCAAATTCAAATGGCATTTGGGTTAAAAAAAAAAATCAGCTGTACAAGTATAGGATGAAAAAAGATATGACTAGCCAACATCTCATGTGAAAAAGGGCTGGAAATTGAAAGCCGAAGTCAGCATTGTGATGTGACAATCAAAAAATCCAGTGGACTCTTAGACTCTAGTAGTCCTACCGTACTCTGCCCTGGGCAGACCACATATGGAACACTGCATCCAGTTATGAGCATCACCTTTTAGAAGAAGCATTGAAAACTTGGGGCACATCCAGAGGAGAGCAACCAGAATGATGAGGAGGCTGGAAAATCAGGCCATATCCTGATTTGTTGAGAACCCTGAGCGAGATAAGACCAAGGAGAGAGTTGATAACTGTCCAAGTGTTTAAAGGGCTTTCATGTACAAGAGCGATTAGGCTTGTTTTGCTCAGATTTCAGGTGAAGTTAGGGAAAACTTCTTAAAAATTGGAGCAGTCCAAGAAGTCCAAGTCTAAGACGGATAGAGTAGAGGGAAGAAGAAATTTCCCAACTACTAAGGTCCTGAGGTTGAAGTGGAATGACCACTTGAAGGTGATGTGGTAGAGAGGGTTCATCATCTGAGTATCAACTGGCCTATATTGCTTTGGAAGTCCTTCCTTTCCAACTCTAAAATTCAATTCGTTATTCTATGAAATGAGAATATGGAAAGGAAGAGGCCTGAGCCAGCCACATTGAGAACAGTAAGAAGTGAAAGCTGACAGATTGAAAAAACAGAAAATAGACATGAAAGCTAATAAAGCCCATAAGTATTGGGCTATTTAGTGATAAATTGTCCAACATATTTCAATATCCCCTAGGGTATCACCAGATTACAGTTCAGCACAATAATAAACATTTATAGGTCCTCTAATTCATCCCCTAGGGTATCACCAATTTACAGTTCAGCACAATAATAAACATTTATAGGTCCTTTAATTCATCCATAAAACAATCTTAAGAGTAAGCTCTTAATACAAAATTTTTGTTATTTAAAGGTATAAGTTATAATTATGTGGAAAATTCAAAACTGCAATAGTTCACTTACCAACAATGTGGAATAAATGAGATTTTATAAAAACTATTGGAATAGCAAGGAAGGAAATTGATCATTGGACTAGGAAATCAGTAGCCCTGAGCTTTAGCGCTAGCTTTGGCCAGGAGTAGCTGTGTAACCTCAGGCCAATTACTTCACCCCTATGGGTCCCACTTCCCTCATCTGTAAAAAGCAAGGTCTGAGGGGAAGTACTAAATCAAAAGATCTTGTAAGGTGCATTTCAACTGGAAGAGCAGTATGGCCTAGTGGGAACAACAGGGGCCATGGGTCAGAAGCTGGGGAGTGTGAGTCCCAGCTGAATGAATTCAGGTTCCTGAGCCTCAGCTTTCTCATCTGTAAAACGGGGATAATAATACTGCCAACTTGCTATTTCACAAAGATATATGGTGAAGAAATCACTCTGCAAAGCTTTAAAAGTGCTAAGGAAATATGAACTTTTGCAACGACAATGATGATTCTAAATTTGCAATATAGGTGACTTCCTAGGTGGCTTATAGTAATGTCCTATTGATGAAAAGCATTTATTCTCAAATTAAAATTTAGGGAAAGGAAAAATGAGGCACATTTCTTCTCTATTTATCCTGTCCCACATCTACCTCCCCTGCAACCTGTAGGCAGAGAATAATGAGGATTCAAAGCCCTCTCTGCAGATTAAGCAAGCCTGTGCTGCAGACAGACAGCCCCCTGGGAAGGTAGCTTTGCTCATCTAAGGCCAAAGAAAAGCTCCTCTCCTAGGTGGGGGTGGGGTGGGGAAGAAGGGTCATGGGGAGATACTAATATGAACTGAGTATCACCAGCCCTCCAGATGAAGCAGCTGAGTCAATTCATTCAGCGAGGCTACCACTGAACACTGCCTATATTTGGTGTTCTGGATTTTAAGGCCTGCGCCTTATTTGTTTCCAAAATGTCATTCCCCAATCCAACCCAAACGAACAAATATTTATTAAGTGTTTCTATATGCAAGGCACTGAGCTTGGCACTGGAAATATAAAGGTGAAACAAGGCTAAACTTCAGCCTCCGTTACCTCAGAAAATCTACAGAAAGATAACTCACATGCCTCCAGACAAAACTTCAGCCTCACTACCGATGCTGTGAGGACAGAGGCACAAATACTATTGTCCACATTTTGCAGGGGGCGGCTGAGGCTTGGAATGTTTAAGTGACATGCCCGTTGTCTCAGTCCTATTAAGTGTTAGAAGCTGGATTCCAACCCAGGGCTTCCACCCAGGGTCTAACAGTCTTTCTATACCACCGATGGTGCTTGCTCAGAACTCTTTTGATGGTGCCCTACCATCCTCAGACTAAAGTCCAGACTCCTCTGCTTAACATTCAAGATCCTCTACAACTTCTTTTCCTGGCAGTGAGAGCTCTTTACATCTTGGCCCTTCCTTACCTGTGTAAGCTTCTCTCCCACTATTCCCTCAATGACAAAATCTCTGCCCCAGTCAGGACAACATATGCTATACCTACCCTCACCCCAATATTCAATACTACCTTTACCCTTTTCCTTGCAGTTTTCTGTGCCTGAAATATTGAAATATCCTGCTTACTAAATCTAGCCAAATTCTGGTTGTTATTCAGTCATTTCAGGGTTTTTTGAGTTAACATATGTAAAGTGCTTTATAAACCTTGAAGTGTTATATTTTTGTTTGTGGCTGAGTCATTTCAGTCATGTCTGACTCTTCATGACCCCGTTTGGGGTTTTCTTGGCAAAGATACTGGAGTGGTTTGCCATCTCCTCCTCCAGCTCATTTTAAAGATGAGGAAACTGAGGCAAACAGGGTTAAATGACTTACCCAGAGTCACACAGCCAGTAAGTGTGTGAGACCAGATTTGAACTCAGGAAGATGAACCTTCCTGACTAGAGGCCCAGTGCTCTATCCACTGCACAGCCTAGCTGCAAATTCAATTTTTTCTTGAAGGACAGCTAAGGTTTCACCTTCAGCATAAAGCCTTGCCTGTCCCTTTACACCCATGGCAGCACAGTATGGTGGAAACAATATTGAATCTGAAGCTAAAAGGAATGAGTTTGAATTCTGCAGCCACATAAGCTTCAGCAAGTCACCCATCTCTTCCCTGTCTCACTTCCCTCATCTATGACATGAAGGAGTTAGACAAGATGACCTTGGAGGTCCCTGTAAGCTTTAAATCTCTGATGTTACTGTCCTGTGCTGAGCCTTTCCTTCTCTATAAGTGAAAAGCAATGTAACTCAGGAGAAAGATCATGGCATCTGGAGTCAGACAAACTGGCTTAACAGCTTCACTCAACACATTTCTTGGGTGGCCTCAGGCAAGTTAGATGACCCCCCTGTGCATCAGTTTTCTCATCTATTTGCTGGACTTTCGATGATGAAAATGCTTTGTAAAAACCTTAAAGCATTATGTAAACCTCTTTTTTTTTATTATTACATATTTAGCATTGGATTATATGCTGCTTTATGCTATTCTAGCTATTTCACGTTAACTTCAGGGAATAATAATAACTACCACTTGCATAATAATTAAGGTTTAGAGGTTTTCTTATCTGATCCTCACAATAACGCTGGGAGACCAGTGTGATTACCGTCCTCACTTTACAGTTTTACAGCAAGAAGGAATCATAGAGACCACCTCATTCACCCTCTACTTGTACAGAGGAGGAAACAAGGGCCACAGAGATAAAGTGATTTGACCTAGGTCATACAACGTGCTCAGAGTGTAGTCATGATTTGAAACCATATCCTCTCACTATAAATCCAGTGCTCCACGTGACTGGCCTTGGGGAAGCAGAACTCCTAAGCCATGAAGGATGACTCCATCTTTAGAAAGGAAGAATCACAAAACTTGAGGAAAATACTTGCTCATGGACCCACAGATAAGAAGTAGAACTGGGATTTAAATCCTTGACCTACAGCCCCAAATCCAAGACTCTGTGTGTGTGTGCGTGTGTGTGTGTGTGTGTGTGTGTTTTCTCTTCTGGACTACAAAAGAAGCAACTTACATGGAGGCATCACATCACACACGTCTGTCCTTCCTCCCCAATTGTCTAATGCAGTGGAGGATATGGGATAAGAGCTTAGTGAATCTCTGCTGGTAGACCGACTGGCCTATTACCTTCAGATCCCGGTGGATGATGGGTGTTTTGCACTGATGTAGGCGGGCAACAGCCTCACAGGTGTCACAGAATATCTGTAGCACTTCATTCTCCGTGAAGCCCGTCTGTAAACGCTGGTTCATCAAGTTCACCACTTGACCTCCTAGCAGAGAAAAGAGGGGAGGATGACAACAATTAGAGTCACAAAATTCAAGGGGAAAGAGACCTTACAGAAAGATCATCTAATCCAACCACGTCATGTCATTGAGAAGGAACTTGAGGTCCAGAGAGTGGACATAATTGGCATCTGGTTCTTTGAAAAGTCACCCTATGACACCTAGTTCAATGCTTATTCCACTGCACTGCCTTCTGCAATGAACACCCCCCCAAAAAAAAAGACTCCATCCATTTAGACAGACACTGACAACCTAAAAAATCATAGATTTGGAGTAAAAGAATGTGCTTGAAGGACCTGGGTTCTAATCCCAGCTTGGCTGCTTATTCTTTGCAAGCCAGTTAATATCCCTAGGCCTTAATTTCTTCCTCTATAAAACTAGGGAGTTCAATTAGATGGTCTCAGAGGCACCTTCCAGCTCTAAATCTATGAAGCTATGATGCTGCATGTCATGAGGAATAACACGTGTTCTCCTTGGCTTTACTGCCAGCTGTTTGCCCTGCGGAAATGAAATGCCATTAGAGGCACAGCTGGAACTCTTGATTTCCCAGGAACCATCTCTCACTTTTAGATTATCCAGACCCCCTAGTTATTCCCACTGGTTGCCTTCTGAACATTTCAAGGCTCATTATCCTCTTCCCCAAAAAGGAACAGGATAGGAGGAGATGGTGACAATGGCCAAATTCAGACACAGCTCGGGGGTGGGGGGTGGGGAATGTCTGATGGAAGTGGTTGGAGTCAATAGTTAAAATGAGGTTTGAGAAGGATCTGTGGGTTTTGTTTATATCCATTGTCTTTGCTCATCATGGGTGGAGATAATTGAGAATTGGCTATGATTATGGATTCATTTCTCAAGCATCTGTCATTGCAAAGTGTAGGTGGTACATACAGTCATTGCAATGCAAGGCAGCAGCATCATGGGGAGACTCTGCAGCTGGCTGCTTACAACAGAGGAGCCAGGGAATCAAAACCTCCAAACAACGAGGATGCTAAATGGAGTCTCCCTTCAATGATTCCTCCTATTGGGCTGCTGAGGGAAGGGCACTCTCGTTTTTGTCGACAGGATCAACTCTCTCTGTTTAATCCCATAGTTGGCAACATCACCCATGTGTTATATATACAGATCCTGGAAACAGCTTCAGACCTCACCCAGTCCAATCTTCTCTCCTCTGCAGAAGTCCCCTCTCCAACATTCCTGACAGGTGCTCAACCCCTTCCAGTGACAGAGATGCGCCCATCAAACAAGGGGGCTGGACCAGAAAGGCCTCTGAGGTCTCTTCCACTCCCAGGCTACAACTCCATGATAACTAGGGCAGTCTCCATTTTTAGACAACTCCCCTTGTACCAAAGTTCTTCCTAATATTAAGCTAAAATCTGTCTCCGTGATACTAGATAATCATTTGGGGATTATCCAGAGCTCCAGTTACTCCCACTGACTATCTTTTGGACAATTCAGGGCTTATTGGCTCCTCCACCAAAAATGAATTAAGGGAAAAAGTGATGAAATTCATCAAATTGAGCTACAGTTTTAAAAAAAATGGTATGATGATAGGGGATCATAGGATCAGAGATTTCAGCTAGAAAGGGCCTGTGAGACCGACTGCTTCATTTTACAGAAGAAACTGAGGCCTGGAGAAGGGTAAATTGTCCAAGGTCACAAAACTGGTGAGTCATCCTGCTCGCCATTTTTATCAATGATTTGGGTGCAGACATACCAACATTTTGAATGATAGAAAAGCTAAAAAGGAGTACTAGCTGTCTGCTTGACAGAAATCAAGATCCCAAAATATCTCAAGGCAAAACCACAATTCAAATCTAGGTTCTGTGATTTCCAACTCAATGCTCTTTCTCCCGTTCCCAACATATCCCAATGGTTAAAATGAGGTTGGAGGATTATCTATGGATTTCATTTACGCCTCTTCCACAACATCATAAGGAAGCGGTTACATAGCCTTGGATTTTAGAATAACAGTACAGTTGTTAGCTTTCAATTTCTAGATATTTCTAACTCTTACCGAAATGAAATATGGCTCCCCCTAATTTCCATCCATTGCTACTTCTTCTACCCCTGAGTCAAGTGGAATCCTTCTTCCACGTGATAGCCCTACAAATACTTAAAGGCAGTTTTTAAATAAAAATGATAATAGCTTCAATTTAGATAGCACTTTGAGATTAGTAAATATTAACTTATTTTATCTTCACAACCATCCCAGGAGGTAGGTGTTATTATCATCCCCATTTTACAGATGAGGAAACCGAGGCAGAAGAGGGAAATTAAGTGACTGGCCCAGGGTCACACAGTCAGTAAGTATCTGAGACCAGATTTGAGCCAAGTCTTCTAAACTCCAGGTTCAGAGCTCTAGCCATCCCACCACCAAGCTTTTAAACACAAGGGAGAGAAATTTTCAAACCTAAAAGGTACACACATACTTTCTCCCTCACTCTGCCTAAATGATAAAATGTCCAATTCCCTCATAATCTTTGTTGCCCATATCAGTCATCCTTTTAAAATGTCATAGAAAGAGCTAAGGCGATCCCTCCAAATTTCTTCTTCACCTTTCAGAATTCCTGGCTTCTTTCAAGGCTCAGGTGCCACCTACTACATGACTCTTTGGTCCCTCTAGTCGTTTCGCCATTTCCGATCAGTGATGCTGCTTTCAGACTTCTCTACCATGGACTTTCTTCCCCAGTGGAACATCTCATTATCCTGTGAGATTAAATCTGCCTTGGTACTCATGTCTCACCAATAAGCACCCTCCATCCTCTGATTGGACCCTCTGACTAGAGGGCAAGGCCATCAGCACCAGTGCCTCCATGGAATGAGGGGGCTCAGTATAGTCTTATTCCATTTCTCACCAACTACACCCTTATGGGCTTCTCCATCATGCCCCTCCTACCCTGGTTTTCCATCTTTTGTGGGCTGTTGTCTTCCCCCGTTAGACTGTAAGCTCCTTGAGGACAAGGGAATGTTAGCACTTAGCACCGTATAGCTGTTTAATAAATGTTTATTAACTGACTGATTGAATAGTCCTCTGTCCCTCCTGAAATTACCTTATATTTATTAATCTATGTGCATGTAATCTCCTCTCCTACACCCTAGAAGAGCCTTGCACATAGCTGAGACATTTTTTTTTTTTGTTTATTGAATCAAACTGAATGTGGTCTGACCTGCACCAAGAGGCCCTCCCCTTCTTTCTCCTGGATATTCTCCTTTTATTAATAGAATCCAAGATCACTCCAGCTCTTGGAGTATCTACCTTCCTCTGAAAATTCACACTGAGCTTCCAGTGCCCTAAACTCCCCACACTCTTTTTCATATGAAATGCCTTGAAACCATATCTTGCTCCAACCTGCACTCATTCAGTTGATTTCTGGAACCCAAATGAAAGATTTTACATTTAGATCTATTCGTTTTCATTTGGCTTGATTCAACCCCTTGTTCCAGTCTGTCAAGATATTTATGGCTCTTGGTTCTGCCATCCAAAGAGTTGGCACACTCGCCCCGCTTTATGTCATCTGCAAACCTGATAAGCTGGCCATTTATATCTTCGTCTAAGTCACTGATAAAAATCGGGGCCAGGACAGGGAATTACTGGAAATTATAGCCTATGGCTCAGCAGGAGCTCAAAAGGACAGGAATTTTAGGTCTTCTTTCTGAACCGGAATAATTCTGAGTGGCAGCTGGGGATCGGTGTAGGGAACACAAGACTGGGTGTCAGAAGGCCTGAATTTAAGTTCGGATTCTGTCACTTGCTGGCAACATGACTCTAAGCAAGTCAATTAACCCCTCTGAGCCTCAATTATCTCTTCTGCAAAATGGGGATAAAAATACTTGGGCTATCCAGCTCAGAAGGCTATTGTGAAGAAAGTATTTTGTAAACTAAAGTACTAAAAGATAGAAGCTACTTGTTATTTCCTGTAACCTCCTCTCTGACCCTTCCTTCGCCTGGTTGGCACATCATTAGTATCTGCTGGTATCTCCATCACCAATAGAGATTACCAAAGTGAAGCCAAAAAAAAAAAAATTAAAGGATAGGGAAGAAAGATGAATCACCTGGCCATTTTTCCTAATTCTTAAGTTACTTCTTCTCCTCATGGCTTTATCATTCAGTCTGAAGTATCCTAATTTCCCAGATCAGACTTACAAACATGCAAAGAATCCATGATTTCTCAGTGTAAGGAACTTTCAGATTAAGAACTCCCTCCCCTAATGCAGACTGTAAGGCAATTAGGGCTTAGTAAAGAAGACTTAGTATCACCATTGAAACTAAGGTAAACCAAGGCACAAAGTTCTGAACACATTCAATTTCTTGCTAAGGCTAGCAGTTAGCAATAAAATGGTTTTTTTCAGCTCCTCAGCCAGAAGACCAGGAGGTAGGGCTTACTGGCTTTCATAAAGTTTTGGGAAGTATAAGAGAACAAAGAACAGGATGCATCATAGATGGAAAACAATATGATTGGTTACAAAGTCTGAAGTGTCATAGATGATGAAGAAAAATATGACTAGATAGAAGTGTAGAGTACACAGCTAGCAACAACCTCTCCTTCCATCTTGTTTCTTCGGAAAGAAAGCTCATTGGTGGTGTCCACCTGTATGGCTAGTTAGTATCATAGAGATAAGAGACCAGACTTTCTTGAAAGACAGTCAGTGTTGTAGAGATAACAGACCAGACTCCCTGGCATCCACCTGCACCTCTAAGAATAAAAGATTTCTCTTAATTGTACAAGGGCAGCTTGTGGTACAAAGATAAGTTTTCTCTCGATTAACGTGATTTATGGGGAAGCTTAACTTTTAAACTTAACTCAGAAAGGAAAATTGAGCTTCTGGACTCATGAACTTCTGAACTTAACTCAGAAAGAGAAACATGGCTTAGGCAATTGCAGAATAGAATAAATTACAGAATGGAATCAAATATAAAATACTAAATCAATATTTGATTTTCTCATGAGGGAATAGTAGAAAGAGTGTCGAACTTGGAAGTCACAAGATCTGAGCTCGAATTCTAGTTTTACTTGCTACCTGTGTAAATTTGGCCAAGTCACCTAACCTCTCTAGACCTCAATTTCCTTATCTATAAATTGAGGGGGTTGATTTAGATAAACTATAAAGTCCTTTCTAAGCTCCAAATCTATGATCCTTTGACAAACATGTAAAGTGACTTTTCTGCTAATTAATATACATGGTAGATAGAAAGCAAGTCATTGTCATCATCATCAAAACTGATGTCTATATAGCACTTGAAAATGTGCAAAGCACTTTAAATGCATTACCTCACTAAATTCTCACAACAAATCCCTGTGAAGCATAGACTAGAGGTAATATTTATACCATTTTACAGATGAGAAAACTGAGGCTCATAGAGTTTAGGTGGCTTGCCTATGATTATACATCTAGGAAGTATCACAGGCAGGATATGAACCAGTCTTTACTAATTCAAAGTCTGGTATTTTTTCTACTATGCAACACGGCCTCCAGCTCAGACACATACATGTGAGAAATGATTTTTTTTAGTGATGTCTTTGCCACTGTTGTTTGTCAAAACCATGTATAATTGAGAACTGAAAGTCATCTCCTGACCTTCTAGATCCCCTCTTTGACCTTTAACCCAGGGATAACAGCATGATTAGCAAAGACATCAGCAAGCCTTTGGCCAACAAAATGCCACGGAAATTACCGTGGTACACCTGGTATGCACACTTACCTCGGCAAAAATCCATGAGAATTAGAACTTCCCACACGTCGCCACTACTCACATTGTTGATACTAGAATCAATGTAGCCAACAATGTTCTTGTGTCCCGACAGGTCCCTCTGTAAACATGACAAATACATATTAGGCACTTTTCTCTCTAAGATCAAAAAGTCTTCTTAAAGCCCAGGTCTGACCATTTCATTCCCATTAAAAACCTCCAGTAGCTTCCCATTGTCTTTAGGATAGAAGGTGACATTTAATGCCTTTCACAAGCCAAGTCTAAGAACCATTCCAGACTTATTTCACATTAGACTCTCCCTCATGTAACTCTCTGTTCCAGCAAAACTAGCTTCCGCTTCCATAGAGGGAATTCCATCTCCCACTATGGCAATCTTTGCACAGATTACCCCATCCCCACCTGCCATGCCTGGAAAACGTTCCTTCTAGAATCTTTGCCTCTCTTCAACGGTCAACTGAGGGACTGAAGCGTGCTTAGTTCAGTGCTCTCCATGTCCTCAAATTATATTTATTTACCTGTATCATTCTTAATACAATGTTAATTCCTTAAGAGCAAGGGCTTTTTTTTCATTCATTTTGTCTATATCTCTAGTATACTGCCTTATATTTTGGGGGCTAGGGGGAAGTGGTGAGGAGTTAGACCTGAGATTTCCTTAGTATAGGGACCTGCCAGTGGGGAAATGCCTACTAACAAAGCAGATGGGCAGCTGTTCTAAATCCTAGTGTTAAGTAACTTTCCCAGGGTCAAACAGTCAGTATGTATCAAAGGTAGAACCTATACCTGGGGTCTCTATCTGCAATGCCAATTTGTCACCCCATAAACAAGTTTATAACATATAAGGAGAAGTTGAAGGAATTGGACAGATTTAGAGTGGAGAAAAGAAGATTCGGGGGAATATATATCTACTCTATCCAAAAGCGGAATGACCTGCCCTGAGCAGTGACGGGTTTCTCCAACTTAGAAGTCTTCAATCTTCAAGCAAAAGCTGGTTGACTGCTTTTTGTGTATGTTACAGTGGAGATTCCTTTTATATATGGGTAGACTAGATGGCCAACTCTCAGAATTTGTGCTTCTGAGTCAGAAGGAGAAGGTGACTGCAAAATGAGTGTGTGAGGTAGAAATGAGTGTGGGAGGGGTAGAAGAAAGGCTTCATCAAAGAGGCAGCAGCTTTGGGAAGCTCCAAGAGCATCAGGTTTCTCAAGCTAATAGGAATTTCGTTTCAATTCTTGAGCATCTTCTGCTCCCTGGAGGCAAACAGAACACGTCTGATCTCTTCTCCCCATCATAGCTGTTCAAATATCTGAAGATAGCTATCACTTATTCCCCCAAATTTTCTTTTCTCCAGGCTAAATCTGCCTAGTTCCTTCAACTTATCCTTACATGTCATAAACTTGTTGTTTATGGAGAGACAAAATGACATTGCAGATATATCTCCACTTGGTGTTGTTTGTTGTTGTTGTTGTTAACAGGCATTTGTTCAATAGACAATTGCCAAATGCAAGACTTGACATTGAGATAACCTCTATCGCTATGTCAAGCTGCCCTTTGCCTTAATAGCAGATGCTTAATAAATGCTCATGAATTGAAACAAAATTCCCCTTAGCTTGAGGAACTTCATGCTCTCAGAGCTACCCCAAACTGCCCACTCTCATGAAGTCTGTCTTCTTCTAGCCCTCTCTTCACAAACTCAGTCAACGGTCATCTTCTCCTCTGACTCAGAATCACAGATTCTGAGAGTTGCCCACCTAGTCCCCTCCATACACAAAAGGAATCTCCACTGTAACATGCACAAAAAGCAGTCGACCAGCTTTTGCTTGACGACTTCTACGTTGGAGGAACCCATTACTGCTCAAGAACAGTCATTCTACTTTTCAACAGCGCTAATTGTTAACTAGGTTTTTCTGGATATCAAGCCTAAATTTGCTTCTTTGTAACTTCCACTCATGGCTCCTGCTTCTGCTCCCTTGTGCCAAACAAAACAAGTCTGATCCCTTCTCCCATGATCCCATGACAGCCCTTCAAATATCTGAAGACATCTATCATGCATTCCCCCAAATCTTCTTTTCTCCAGGCTAAATCTGTTCAATTCCTTCAACTTATATGTCATAACTCAAGGCTCTTCTCATTCTAAATGTCTGCCTCTGGAAACACCCCAGTTTCTCAATGTCCTTTCTAAACTGTAGTACCTAGAAATGAACACAATACTCCAAATGAGGTCTGACAAGGAGAGGCTACAGTCTGACTGTCATCGCCCTTTGCCTGGAAGCTGTAGCCCTCTTACTGCAACCAATGGTTGCTGTATCACACTTCAGACTCCTATTGAACTTTCAAGTCTACGAGAACACCCAGATATTTTTCTGAACCGCTATCTAACCCTGTTGCTCTCATCTAATACTTATGAAGTTGATTTTGTTATACTCAGGTGCAAGACTATTTACAGTGATCCCTATTGAATTTCATCTTAATAAATTCAGCCCAAATTCTCTTTCAATATCCTTTTGGAGAATGAAAAGAAATGGTTGGTTAGGTAGAGGGGGAATAAGTAGAAAGTAGTATCATGGAAGTCAAAGAAAGAGAATATACAGAAAAGAAGTAAAGGGGTCGGGGTGGGGGAGAGTCCAAAATGTGAAAACTACAGAAAGGTCAAGTAGATCTGAGAAAAGGCCACTGAATTTAGCAGTTATGAGATATCTAGTAACTTTGTTTAGAGGTTTCCATGGGGTGGTAGGGTCATGAGCTTATGTATAAGGAGTTGCAAAGTGAGTGGGGAGGTAAAGAAGAGAAGCCAGCTGGTCAGTGAAGACCCATGTATTAAGTCCTTACAATGAGTCAAATACTTCACTAAACTGAAGGGACCAAGAAAGGCAAAAACAATACTTGTCCTCAAGGAGGGTATATTCTAATGGACAAGTTTTTCAAGGAGTTGGGCAGTAAAAGGGAAGAAAGATATAGAACAAAGCTTAGTAGTGTCAAATGAAGGATTTTTAAGGACTTAGTGGAAAGAGGTAATTAAAGAAGAGAATGAGGGAAAAACTGTTTGGGCAAGAGCCAGGAAGAGGAGAAGTAGGAGTAGTTAGCATATACATAGCAATTTAAAGTTTGCAAAGTGTTAAACAAATATTATTTCATTTGATTATCATAATAACCCTGGAAGGTAAGTGTTATTATTATCCCCACTTTATAGATGAGGAAACACAGCCAGATAGAACTTTAGTGACTTGCCTAGGATCACATGGCCATTAAGTGCCTAAGGTCCAACACACTATCCATTGCACCACCTAACTGCAATGGGATACGAAAGGCACAAAAAAGGTATATTAATTACCATCCTTGGCAAGAAAGGCCACTTCTTCCTTTAAGTCTAGAGCAAAAGAGGTAAGGACCTCTACAAGTTTGTTTGTTTATTTGTTTTTTGAGGTGTGGAGAAAAAGAGGTAAGGAAGCTGATGACAGATGACAAGCAAAACAGCTTCTCATCTGCTGAGAAAAAAGCTAAGGGTTTTGAAAGAGAGAGAGGTGAAAGTCTGGAAAGCCACTGTGGAAATTGTGATAGTCAAGGAAAAATAAAGATTGCCTGGTTGGAGTGAAGACCCAGTTGAGATTAGATATCATGACTTTGTAACTGATCCAAACAGGGAGAAGACATAGCTACTTCCACTGGCATTTAGCATTAGAGAAGTGGAAGCAGAGAAAGCAGATTGTGGTGGTGACTCCGGGGGAAAGATTGGCAAGGAATTAACAACAGGACAAAGGATCCAATGGTGAATAGTATATAGTTGGACTGATCAAATATAAGGTGAGCACAGAGAAGGCATGATGGATTGGGAGCACAGAGAGGCATGGAGGGACTGGAGGTTATTGTGAAGATAAAGAACAGGTTTATCAGAAGTGAGGCAAGGGCAGGTTATGATTGGAAAGGAGAATTTTAGCATCAGTAGCCATGGAAGTGATATAATTAGAAGTAATGATGAAGTCTTTGGTAGAGGCACTCTTGTTGGTGACCAAGGTGGAATGAAGATAGGGAAATGGAAATTGAAGAAATTGATGAAATTGCAGATCTGGGTTCTGGAGGGGAAATCAGCAGGCATATATACAAGTCCTCAACTGTAAATAAAAATGAAGAGGAAGACAAAGCAACAACAACGAACTTTGCAGGTCGATACTGAAAGATGGAATGAACCTCAGATGAAAGGCTGCAGAACAAATAGCAACAGAAAGCTACCTGCTCCTGGATAAGTGTGACAGCGCCACGAGAGAAGGAATAACTCCTACTGGAGAGGATGGCCAGGGATGCAGTGTCCTCTGGAGAAAGCCAAAACTTAGCAGACCATCTCTAGTGGAGTGTCCCAGAGATCTGACCTTGGCCTTGCACTGGCCAACTTTGATCAATGACTTGGATGAAGTCACAGAAGACTGACTTACTAAATTGTAGATGGAATAGATAGATAGATAGATAGATAGATAGATAGATAGATAGACAGATAGATAGATAGATAGATAGATTGAGAGATTTATAACACAATGGATGATAGTAACAGAGGATCCTTTCAAAGAAATCAACAAAACAGGATGATGGGCTGCAGAGAATGAGATGATATTTACTAGGAACAAAGGTAAAGTTCATAGAATCAGATTCAAAGTTGGAAAGGACCTTAGAGATCATCTAAAGTTCAACTCCCTCATTTTATAGAAGAGGAAACTGAGGCTCAGAAGTTAAGTAAGTAGTCCATAGTCACACAGCTAGTAAATGTTAGAGGCAGAATTTGAAAGAGGTCTTTCTGACTCCAAGGGCAGCACTCTATCTATTAGACCAACCTGCCTCTCAGTTCTACACTTGGGTTTAAGAAATCAACTTCCTAAGTACAAGATGGAGGGGTCCTGGTTAGATAACACTTTCTGTGGGGAAAAAAAAAATCAAGGGGCTTTAGTGGTCTGCAACTTAATGAATCAATAGTCAAAAAAGCTAATACTATCCTGGATTGTGGCAAAAAAGGCATAGCTTCCAGGAGTAAGAGTGGATAATCTCATTGTACTCTGCCCTGGTAAGAGCCCATCTCGAGTATCATATTCAGTTCTGATACGACATTTCAGGAAAGATATA